GCTTAGCAACGTCGCCGTCTCTGGCAGCACCGCCGGATCCTATCGCGAGGAAGATGTCCACGCTAACTGTCTGCGTTGAAGTCTCCTCCATCCTCGAAAACATCCCCACTGCACATTGCGAGAGACGAGCTTACTTCAACGAAGAGCGTGGGGATTGCATGTGTGTGCGCGTGTGTTTGTGTGTATTCGTGTGTGTGGTGTGCGCGTGCGAGCGCGTGTGCGCGTGTTTATGTGCGCGTGTGTTTGTGTGTGGTTGTGTGTGGTGTGTGCGCACGCCTTCGGCGACCAGCTCGTCTGGCGTGGCCCCCCCTCCCACGCCGCGGCCTGCTGCCCCGCAGCTACCCTTGGTTTCCCCGCCAGGCCCCCCCAGGCGCCGCCCCCGTGCCACGCGCGTGGCTCTGCTGTGACCGGGCCTGATTTCCTCCTCTCCCCCCCGCCGTCGGCGGGCGCCTCCTCCTCCTCCTCCTCCCCCCTCCTTCTCCTCCCGCATGGTAACTTAGTCCGCGTTCAGTGCACCTCACCAGCGCCTCATTCGCTAATGCAGTGACTTTGCTTAGCCGCCGACGCGAACAAGTGTGTGTGTGTGTGGTGCGTGTGTGTGTGTGTGTTTTGTGCGTTGTGTGTGTGTGTGTGTGTTGTGTGTGTGCGTGTGTTGTGTGCGTGTGTGTGGTCTGTGTGTGTGTGCGCGTGTGCGTGTGCTGTGTGTGTTGTGTGTGTGTGTGTTGTGTGTATGTTGTGTGTTATGTGTGTTTTGTGTGTTGTGCTGTGTGTGTGCGTGTGCGTGTACCTGTGTGTGTGTGCGTGTGTGCGTGTGTGTGGGTGTGGGTGTGCGTGTGCGCGTACGTGTGGGCGCGCGTGAGCGTGAGCGTGCGCGCGTGCGTGTGCGTCTGCGTGTGCGTGTGCGTGTGCGTGTGCGTGCGTGTGTGTGTATGTGTGTGTGTGTTTGTGTATATGTGTGTGAGTGTGTGCGTGTGTGTAAGTGCGTGCGTGCGTGTGCGTGTGTATGCGCGTGCGGATGTGTTCGTGCGCGTGCGCGCGTGCGTGTGATTGTGCGTGTGTGTGTATGTGTGTGTGTGTGTGCGTGCGTGTGTGTGTGTGTGTGAGAGTGTGTATGTGTGTGCGTGTGGTTGCGCGTGCGTGTGCGCATGCGTTGCGCGTGCACTCGCGTGTGCGTGTGCGTGCGTGTCTCTGTGTGTGTGCGTGTGTGTGTGTGTGTGTGTGTGTGTGTGTGTGCGTGTGCGTGTGCGTGTGCGTTTGCGCGTGCATGTGCGCGTGCGTGTGCCATTTTGGCTCAAGGCTCTCCTCCTCCTTCTCCTCGTCCTCCTCCTTCCTCCTCCTCCTCCGCCTTCTCCTCCCCCTCCTCCTCCCTCCTCCCGCCTCCTCCTCCTCTCCTCTCCCTCCTTCTCTTCCTCCTCCGCCTCATCCATCCGCTCCTCCTCCTCCTCCTCCTCCTCCTCGTCTTCTCCTCCTCCCCTCTTCCTCCTCCGCCTCTTCCTCCTCCTCCTCCTCGTCATCTTCCTCCTCCTCTCCTCCTCCTCCTCCTCGTCCTCCTCCTTTTAAGAAGCCTCCCTCTCCTCCTCCTATTTTTCCTCCTTCCTCTCCTCCTCCTCCTCCTCCTCCTCCTCCCCCTCCTCCTCCTCCGCCTCCTCCTCCTCCTTCCTCTCTTCCTCCTCCTCGTCCTCCTCCTCCTCTTCCTCCTCCTCCGCCTCCTCCTCCTCCTCCTCCTCCTCATCCTCCTTCCGCCTTCTCCTCCTCCTCTGCCTCCTCCCCCTCTCCGCCTCCTCCTCCTCCTCCTCCTCCTCCTCCTCCTCCTCCTCCTCTCCTCCTCCTCATCCTCCTCCTCCTCCTCCCTCCTCCTCCTCCTCCTCCTACCTTTCTCCTCCTCGCCTCACTCCCTTGTCCTCTCTCCTCCTCCTCCTCCTCCTCCTCCTCCTCTTCCCCTCCTCCTCTCTTCCTCCTCCTCCTCATCCTCCGCTCCTCCTCCTCCTCCTCCTCCCTTCCTCCTCCTCCTCCTCTTTTCTCCTCCTCCTCTTCCTCCTCCTCCTCTCCTCCTCTCCTGCCTCTCCTCCTCCTCCTCCTCGCCTCTTCCTCCTCCTCCTCCTCTTTCCTCCTCCTCCTTTCCTCCTCCGCCTCCTCTCCTCCTCTTCCTCCTCCTCCTCCTCAGCCTCCGTCTCCTCCTCCACTCTCCTCTCATGCGGCCCCCTCCTACCTCCGCTCCTCCTGCCTCCTCTCCTCGTCTTCCTCCTCCACCTCCTCTCCTCCCTCTCCTTCTCCTCCTCCCTCCGCATCCTCCTCCTCGTTTCTCCTCCTCCTCCTCCTCTTCCTCCTCTCCCCTCCTCCTCCTCCTTCCCTCCTCCTCCTCCTCCTCCTCCTCCTCCTCCTCCTCCTCCTCCTCCTCCTCACCTGTGCCGCTGGGTGCCTTTGTGGCGTCCCAGGAAAACAGGCGGGTTGGCAGCCCGATCGTCTCCACAGCTCGACGGGGCTGTGGGAGAGACTCTTG